ATCCCACTGCTGGCCCCTTAAAGGTGCAGTCCATATACCACGCACGCAGGCCTAGCCCTTCTGTTCTGTGTTGATGAACCCTTCCCCTGTTGGATGCAGGCTGGGCCTTTGCGAAGCTTCTTCTACCCCTTCCCCACAGCTCTTAGCAGTGTGCCCTGGAGACCTGGGGCCTTGAGGTGTTGCTCCAGCAGTCTCGGCTTTCTGTGCCCCAGGCAGCAGAGAAGTGGCTGATTCTATTCCCCGGGGACTTCCCTGGCATGCTGCCAGCCTGGCCCAACTCTTGTGGAGGTCTTGAGCAGTTGTGTTATTTATTGTGTCTAGCCACATGGGTGTATGGGCACTGCAGAGGGTGGAGAGCCTGTATAGTCCAGAGCATCTCCCTTGGGGCCAAAGCCAGCTCCAGCCTCTGCCCATGAGGGCTCATGTCTCTATCTGCAGTAGGTTCATGCCAGCTTTCCCCCACCCCAGCATGTGTCCTCTGCAACATTATTTTTCTGCCTTTGAAAGTGTAGGCCTAGCCCCCAAAGTTACATATTAGTGTCCTTTAGGTAAGGAGGCTACAGAAAAAGGGGACAACTGAATTCTTGGGACAACGAATGAAAAATTGACTTGTGCCCTCTGCAGCACCCAGCCCTGCTCAGGCTCACAGGCAAACATCTGTGTGAGCGTCACACCACCAGATGGCAGTGGGCTCTTCTGCAAAGCTGCCACCTAGGGCTTTGCCTCCTAACTGGCTGCTCACACATGGGGCAGCATGGCTGGTGCTCCTAGCATACAGGCAGTGAGGCAGGCAGGACCCAGGAGGTGCCCTTGCAGGGCCCAGCTGTTTGGTGCCAGGGGTTGTGCCAGAGTTGATCTGCATGTCTCTGCCTCTCAGCACAACTTGCTGCATTCCCAGTCTGGGCATGGCTCAGTCCCTGGCATTAGCTAAAGTGGCTGCCTCCCCGGTTTCCCTCCCTCCCCACTGTCCCCTCCTCCCTCGCCTAGGCTCAAGCATTGAGCCTGCTCCAACCTGAGGGCACTTGCCTCCACCCTGCAAGACTGCTTGAGTTTCAGGCTGTGAGGAATATACACAGCCCCAGCCCCTCTCACCAGCCAGTGCTGCGCTGGTTCTGGCCAAATCAAACTTTCCCCCAAATGCTTATGTAATGTTTAATCTGGCCAGCATTCAGGCAGGCAGGCGGGGATGGAGGGAAGGACACAGAGCTGCAGAGGAGGGGCTGCAGAGCAAGGCTGCAGCCCCTGCCCCCTCATGGAACAGGCAACAGGCACATGCAGCTGTCCCCCCTACCCTGAGGTCCCAACTTTAGGCTTGACCTCATAGCCCCAAGCAGAGCCGTTCTGATCTGATACCATCCCTCCCTGAGCTGCGCAGCACCTTCTGCATGTCAGGCACTGCAGCCGCCCTGTGCCATGGCTGGACAATCTGCCACAGACCAGACAGAGACCCCACGGTCAATCCTCTGGCCAAGAGAATGTGCATGGGTGGTGGGAAGCAGGAGATGTGGGGGTCTAGATACACCCTTCCAAATGCCCCTCCATTTAGGGTTCTCTGCAAAGAAGGACCTGTCTGATTTCTTACAGCTCTGGGTCTGGATTTAGGAGTCTGCTCCAATGTACTGAAGTCCTAGCCACTCCCCTTGAGGCAGGGCATGCCAACTCCATGTGCTTGTAGCCATAGCTCTAACCACTCAATTCTATTCTTCCAGGTGCCCCAGAGAAAAGCCTACTGCTGCCTAGTGCATCTGTCTGTCCCCTCCTGCTCCAAACCGTGCAGCCCCGTGGTGATGGCTAGTTACAGTAAAGGTAAGGTTTCTTCTTGTTCAGGTGAGAGTTGATGGTGCAGGGTGATGCACCACCTTTACTGATGCACGGGGTGTATGTGGTCTGATGCACAGGATGATATGACATGAGCAGATGGCCCAGGTGCTTGGGACACCCTGATTACATTCTTGGGTGTGCCATAGACTCCTTGTGGGACCTTGGCTCTCTCTTTTAGCCCCCTGGAGCCTCAGTTTCCTGTCTGTGTAACAGAGAGGCCTCACAAAGGGAAACTAAGAGAATAAAGGCATGAAAATGAGAGAAAAGCCAGCAAAGGAGACAGCAGTGGCAGATAGGACACAGGCACACTGCGTTGTAATTGCCAAGGCTAGGCAAGCACTGCTGGCTCTCTGGCAAGCTGGGCCCAGTTACACCAGTGTAAATCTGCAGTAATGACAGCAGTGTATTTACCTGGATGCATCTAAGGCCAGAATCTCCCCCACTGGAACTGTTGGTATTGGAGAGGCTGAGGCCTTGCCAGGGCAAGTTTGCTGTATTGGCTGGACACACCAGCAGGTGCCAGTCTGCTTTGGGCATGAGGGAAGATTCAGCTGACGTCAAACACCTCTAGCCTTTAGAGGGCAGAAGTAGTAGAGGGAAAGCAGATCTACCCAAGGCACCAAGGGAAACCAGAAGGCACCAGCATTGCCCTGTGTGCAAGAGGAAGCACTGGGGCAGCAGGGGGCACTAGACCACAAGGGGTTGGTAACCCAAAGGAACCATTCACCCTTTTCCTCAAGGCATAGAAACCAAAGTTGGGTGGCTTCCAGCATTTAAGTCCAGGTGTCAAGGTTTTTCTAAGCCTCAAGAGGGAGGAGGGTGTGTCCATCACTAATATGAGGCCCAGTGGAGCTCAGGCCTGTGGCAGGAGATACGCAGGTGTGGAGAGAAACGAGACACCTGTGCATGGTGTGCAGACACATTCCAGGGTCCAGGGTGGGGATGGGAACCACTCCCAAATCCTGAGTGACTGGCTTCCTCATGGAAGTGACAGGTAAGATGTAAAAGCCAGTGAGAAGCTGACAGCCAGGCCCAGAGCAGTCATGGTGTTCCAGTCACCAGTGCGCCCTGAGGGGCATGGCGTCTGGGCAGCAAGTGGAGGTGGCATGTCCCAGGTTTCAGCTTAATGCTTTCTAGGAAAAGGCTTACAGAGGGAGTGTGCTGGGTAGGAGCCAGCTCTTGTGCTGCTAACAGAACGCCTTGAAGAGCAATCTCTGAATTTTTGGGGGTTGGGTGTCAGGTCCCCAGAGTGCCTTCATCCTGCAGTGGCTTGACTCAGGCCTCTTGCTGTCTTGATTTTCTATATTTAAAACGTGGGAGAGATTTTCCATATTTAAAACCCAAGAATTCCCATCATGTCCCCCCATGCTTCCAGCACCCATCTGCTGGGTGGGAGGAGCCCAGCAGCTTTGAAAAGGTCAGACTGACAGTGTCTGCTTTGTGCTTGTGGCCCATGGCAAGACCCACACAGAAGCCAGAGTCTTGGCCAGAGCATTTCTAAGGGATTAACTTGTCCCCTTTGCCCACATCTGCCTCCCTTTGCATAGCCCAAGGTTTGGGGTAAGGTCCTCTAGTTCCCAGCACCACTAATAATGGCCTTGTAGGGGTTCCATGTCTCTTGCCTAGAGATCCCTGTAGCACCCCTTCATTAGCGAAGGCCCATAATTACTCAGTGGTTGCAGGAACAGCTCTGGATGGCCCAGGATGAAAGGGACACGCGGCCTTTATTCTCAGTTTGGTGCTGTGTGGCTTAGCACAGACAATTGTTACTGCAGCAGGCCTCTGCACCTCTGGTTTTTCCCCTCAGTTAAGAGATGAGGAGCTGAAGTGCAGGAAGCCTTATGGGGAATCTCTGGCAGAGCTGATCAGGGCTCCTAAGGGCAAAGTTAGTGCACTAACCACTGGGCAAGGTGAGGGAGGGCTGTAGGGGGTGAGGCACCCTGTCCTGCTGGCTTGAAGCAGCTCTTCTCACCATCCTCATGTCAAGGCAGGAGGGTCTGTGCTGCAAAGGACCAGGCTGAGTTTACATCAGACGCCCTGCCAGCCGAGGCAACCACATCTCCTCCAAGCTGCCCAGCTGTCATTATGTCTCCCGCCAGTCATGCTGCTAATGGTGGTGTGTGCACAGGCTGGCATCCGGTGTCCCTTAGAGTGACCACAGTGCCTGACAGCACGCCGGCTCCCTAGTGTGGGTTTGGAAGGAGTGCCAGGGGAGACAGGCTGGTTGCTGCAGGATGGAACGGACTCAACTCACACATGGAAGACTGCAGCGGAGCACAAGGCCTCTTATCCCAGCTGAGCATGGCCATTTTTGTGGTCACTGGCCATGCCATGTAGGTAGAGCCTGGAAATCACTGCCCAGATACCAGCATGTAGAGCATAGGCTGACTGTGCCGGGGAGGAAGCCAGAAAGGGGCAGCCTGGTGTTAGCTTGCAGCAAAAGTAACATATAAGTCTCAGCCAGGGGCAGCTCCATCTCTCCCGAAAGCTTTGAGGAGGTTGGAGCTGGGATGGTGCCATGCCCATTCCATCCTGACCCATGTTATCAGCCAGCCAGTCCATGGCCTTGAGGCAGCTCCAGATCCCAGGGGCTGCTCTGGTTGGCAAGGCTGGGGCTGCAGAATGGAGCCCCCTGGCTGAGGAAAGGAGCTATGGACACAACAGTAAAGGGAGAAGCAGCTCTCTGCCCTGCTGGCTGCCCTGGGTAGTCTGTGCTGCATTCTTAGTGTGCCTGGGTGCTTGGATGCCCTTGACAAGGTGTCCTCACACATGCCAAACTCAGTGAAGCTGTGTTGGGAGCACTGCTCATGGCAAGGACCAAGATCTCCAGACCAGCCACAATCTCTGTGCAGCATCCCATATGTGTGTCTGGGCTTGGCATGTGGGTGGGCATGCTCAGAAGATGTCCCCTCCCCACCTCTAGTGCACTGTCCTCTGGCAGCCTCTGCATGTGACTCCATGGCCCAATGTCTGCTAGAGTGATGGCTTCCAGCCAGCTGCTGGTCTGAGTCTCTGTACACATGCTTCCCCACTCTTCTGAGTGCTTGAGATAGCTCACTGCACTAGGGAGAGATGCTTGCATCAGGATTTCTCTGGGTGCTGTAGAAGAGGTGTTGGACCCACCGACCCTGTACTGCTCCCCTGGATGTAGCCTAGCTGCTTTCCTTCACCAGCTCCCTCAGGCAGACCTCAGTCAGCATGGGAGCCCTTCTGAGTCTCTGCTGTGTCTTGTGTCTGATCCCAGAGCAGGATTGAATTACAGCAGTGGGCTGCCCTCTGATCCACCCTCTTCTGCGAAGGGGAAGGAGAGGCTGGCCCTGGTTTCCTTTGCAAGGCTAGACAGCTTCTCCAGCTGCCAGCATTTTTGCTCTGACATCTGGAAGAGACTGAGGAGAGGAAGCAAGGACCAGCCCATCGCTGAGCTGCAGGACCAGGCCAGCCTCTTGCCCCTGGATGGCCAGAGCTTGGGCATAGAGCGAGGCTTTGGGGTGACCCAGACACAAGGGAATAGCATACCAGCCCTGCTACACAGAGACACCCCAGCGAGGGAGCACCCCAGCATGTCAGCCAGGGGCCAACTGGTTCAGCTCTCAACTCTGAGGAGCAGCCAGGCATATTGGACCAGTCCATACAGGCATTGACAGTCAATCGAGAGGGTCAGTCCTCTCCAGAGGAGTCTCCCCAGAGCCACGGGGCTTCATGCAGGGCCTGCTGGCTCCCAGCTCTCTGCCGACTGCCTCTGACATCAAAGCCAACTCAACCACAGCCTTCTGGTCTGAATTAAGCCCGGCTGCTTGCCGAAGCTGCATTCTTTGAGCTTTGCTCCTGCTTCCCCCTCCAGCCCTGACAGTGCATTCCACCACCCGCTCCACCTCCTGCGTGGGCCGGAAGCATCTGCATCCCACACGGAGCCTGACAGCAGCACCAAACTGCTGCTCTGTGCCTTCCCGCTGGCTGCCCAGGACCCCCAAGCTCTCTCCGCACCCTGCGACCACCCAAGGACTTGAGCCATCACAGGGGGTAGTCTGTCTGTCTCTTGGAGCTGGAGAGCAGCCCCCTGGACCAGAGCACCTCCACTGCTCCTGTCAGGGCCTTACGGGACCCCCTGTGAGAGGGGTGTGAGGTGGAAATGGGGCTGGTTAGAGCCTGCTGCTTGGCATTGCCCTGTCTGCTCCTGGCACTGCTGTGGCCCAATCCAGCCCAGCTCCAGACAGTTCTGACGGATGATGAGATTGAGGAATTCCTGCAAGGCTTCCTGAAGGAGCTCTCCCCTGAAGGCGAGGAGAAGACGGATGTCCAGCCCCCCGAGGCTGGGGGGAGGCTGAGACCTGAAGGAAAGGACATGGACAAGGACAAGGACAAGGACAAGGACAAGGACAAGGACAAGGACAAGGCCAGCAGAGCCCCCACAAAGGTGGAAGGAGGTGAGTGGTGCCAGGGCCACCTTGGCATAGAGGGTCCCAATCCCGGCTGGTGCTACAGGCCATTGCTTCTGAGGGCTCCCTGAGGTTGGTGCTGGGGAGGGCAGTGGGCAGGAAGGGAGCTGGGCAACAGAGGCAGAGCTCAGAAAGCAGGGTCAGGCTGGGGAGTCTACACGGCTGGGCAGTGCTGAGGGGGAGAGGTGGCCGTGTGTGCATACACACACGTGTGTATGCACACATGGCCACTGCCCCACCCAGGCACTGCCCAGTGTGCATGGCTGGTGCCTCGTCAGCCTAGAGACAGCTGAGATGCAGACAGAGGCAGGCATGACTGCATCCCACCCCTTTATGCTCCCCTCCTTCATCTGTATCCTGCCTGCCTCTGACCCCATCCCTGCCTCATCCACTTGCACCCCTTCCGTGCATTTGACCCAGCAAGTGTGTGGTTTCTCTCCAGTTCCTTTGTGTGCCTCTGTCTGCCCCTAACCTCTTGCTCACTGACCCTGCAAGCATTCTCCCATCTCCTCCCAGTGGCCTGCCCAGTTCAGTGGCTTTAGATTCTGTAAACAACCGGAGGCTGGCCCACAGCTATAGCTTGTGGGGGATTCTCAGTGTGATACCTCTTATGGGGCATGTGTAGGACTTTGAACTGTCTCTGTCCAGGTCTGGTGGAAAAAAGAGGTGGGGAGAGGGTGTATTTAGTGGAAAGTTTTGTGTTTCCACTGAAAAGCCCCAAAATGTTTTGGTCGTCAGAAGCGGTCTCTTGCTCACACCCTTGGTATGGACTACACCCCCCATGATGCCCTACCATGTCCCTTCTGGGAGAGGCCATGAAATATGATGGTCATATGTCCCCAGAGCATCATGGGAGATGAAGTCTGGCTGAGGGGCAGAGCCCGAACGGGGCCCAGGTGCCACTTGAACTACAGTCCCCAGGAGGCACTGTGGTGGTATTTTAACCCAAAATGTTAAGAGTTTGGGGGTATGTGGGGGCTTTATTGACAATCCCCTGAACTTTTCATCCTGAGGAGGCCGAGTCCTCCTGCTCTTAGTGGCACTAGAGGCTTCACTGCACTGCCAGAGCTGGGCATTACCCTAGCTGGTTTGAGAGGCTGTGGTTGCTTACTTGCCTGTTGCTACCTCCTTTCTGGCATGGGGTGGGGTGGCTTGGAGGAGAGGTGATGTGAAGGAAGGGGCACAGCAGAAAGAGGGAGCCCAAAAGGGATGGTTTTGTGTTTCTGCCCAAGTGAGGCCAGAGCTGAAGGGCCTCAGCAGAAATTGCAAGGAGTCCGGGGCTGGGCTAGCAAGGGGCTGCGGGTCAGGGTTGAGGGGCACCGAGAGCTGAGAGGGACCTAGGGCTGGGCCACTCCCTGGGCTCCAGGGTTGAGAGGCACTGACAGAGTTGAGGCGGGCCCAGGGAAGGATATCACGGGACTCTGGGTGGGGATTAAGGGGTGCTGGCAGAGCCATGGTGGGATATTGGGGGCAGCAGTAGAGGGGTGCTGGAGGGGAGAGGCTTGTACTTGGTTTCTGGCCCACACACAGGAACCCATAGGAGCACAGCTTCTCTGGGCTGTGCTGTGGGAGCCAGCTGCCCTCTCTGTCCTGTCAGCATTTCCATATGGACCCCCTCCATGCAGGGTTTGGCACCCGGCCCAGGCCTCAGCAGCAAAACTTCCCCGCTGTGGCTGGGCTCTGGCTGCTTCTCTGGGCCCAGGTGGGGGCTGCTGCCTTCTCCCCACAGGCCTGCCAGAGATGTGGGGACAAGTCAGGCTTCTCTGGGGAGGGGGCTCTGCTCACTGATGGAGGGCGAAGCAGGTTGAGGTTTTGCATCCCTAACTTCCCTCCACCAAGAAGGAGCCCCCAGTAAGTGTCAGATGCTTGTCAGTGCAGGGCAGGGCTCTGGGTACACCACAGGGGAGCCGGGAGATTGTCTCTGGTGCATTCACTCTTCTGTCTCACACAGCCATGAATTTGTGCTCTGGAGTCATAAACCCAGAGGTTTCCAGCTCTCATGGCTGGGAGCAGAGGCATGGACCCAGGACCCATGCCAAGGGAGTAGGGAGATGGTGCTCCAGCCATGGAGGTGGATGCAGGGCCTGGCTGGGGGTGCTTTACTGCTCGCTGCCTAGAGGGTATGCTGCTGCCAAGCTCCGGCTCCAAGCCCGCTGTGCTCCCTTGCCACAGGACGTGGGAAGACTGTTGCTCACTTCTTTGGAATGAGGCTGCGGCTACCAGGGGAGCTGTGGGGTGACAGGGTCATTACTCACCAGTCCCAACTCCTTCCAGCGGCCGCTGGGTCTCTGAGTCACAGAGCCAGGCTTCTTGTCTTTCCTGAGTGTGCCAGAGCCCTGGATTTCAGTCTCCTGGGTGGGAGCAGGAAAGCCAAGGTGGTACTGGATGAAAGCAGGCTTCATAGCATCACCTCCTGGAGCGTTCTGCATCTGGTGCAGCCGCCATGCTCCATGCCACGTCTTGCTCAAAGCAAGAACTCTGAGAAAACAAGTCACCCTCACTCCATTTGGGAGCACCAAAAACCCTCACTGCTCCTTCCCCTCCACCTGTCTCCTCCTCAACTCAGCCACTTCCTCCTCCTTATCAAACTGGATGACCCTTGAGATCCTTTGCCCAACAGTATGATACCCCTGTCACCCTCTGGAGCCCCAGGGTGCCAGCCTCCATGCTAGGTTCCAACAGGCACCAGATCTGTGGTGCCAAACAGAGCTGGGCATACTGTTTTGTCCTGCCTCCCTGACAGAGAGAGGGTTTGCCTACACTACAGAAACCTCCCTGGAAGGGGCAAGGGGGAACATTACCAGAAAGCAAATCTCTGCTTTATCACCGTGGGAACTCCCAAGGAAATCCAATTCATGGAGCTTTCTTCCAACCCAATCAAGGAGCACAAGCTGATCCCATGTGACCCAGCTTCTCCAGTTAGGAGGGTGGGCATTTCAGCCACCCACCACATGTTGTCGAGGAACAAGCAAGAAGCCAATGATGGCTCATGGAAATAGCTTGGCACAACAGGCGACACCACCGTTGGCAGATGTGCCGAGGCAGGGCTCACCAGACAAATGACTTGGCGGATGGGGCCGGGAGCTCCGCTCCACATTCAGAAGCCATGAGGCAGGCTTCCAGGCCTTGCCAGAGGGATTGTCTCATAAACCCCAGTGGTGTTAAACCCAACGTTGGGCTACTCCTACTGCAGGGGAATCATGTTTTCAAGGTCTCCTTTCCAACTGAGAGAACCAGACATGTCTCTTTTCCTTTGCTGTATAGACAGAGATTCTGGTGTAATCGTCTGACTTTGGGAGCTGGGGACTTCAGGGAAAACACTCCATTATTGTCATGCTGTTGTACTACCTGAGCACCTAGGAGCCGTTGTAAGACTGTAACACTTCTCAGTGGTTCTGTGTGACGGAGCCCACTAGGAGGAAAACATTCATGGCCAAGTGGCCTGGTGCTGGTGGGGTTGGGTGATAGAAAGCTCCTGGATGTTAAAGAGGCACAAGAGTTATTGCCAAAGGGTGGGGAAATGTCCCACTCAGACGAGCATTGAGTACTATCTGAGCTGTGGTAGAGCTGTCTATGGGCCACACAAGGGTATAGATGGCACCAGAGAAAATGGGATGGGATGGGATGGGATGGGATGGGATGGGATGGTGGGTGCCTCACTGCCCTGGTGGGAAGAAGGAGGAGGCCTAGCTGTGGAGACCTGCCTGAGCCTGATTCTTTCTTTTTCCACAGGGACCCCTGGGAAGGTAAGAGAAAAGCCAAAGAAAGGGAAGAAAGAGAAGGGACCCAAACCCACCAAGAAACCCAAGGAGAAGGCACCCAAGGGCTCCAAGAAAGACAAAGAGAAAGTGCCCAAACCCACCAAGAAACCCAAGGAGAAACTTCCTAAGGGCTCCAAGAAGCCCAAAGAGAAAGCTCTCAAGCCCACCAAAAAACCTAAGGAGAAGCCTCCCAAAGCCACCAAAAAGCCATCAGGAAAGAAAAAGCTTGAGGCAACACCCTCTGTCCAACCTGAGAAGGAAGAGAAGGACAGGTACTATCAGCCTGAGCATCCCCTGTTCCCTCCCCCTGCCAGAAAGGAAGATGACTATGGGGTGGCCGAGCCCTCCAGGCTCCCCTCACCGTATGATGATGAGGAGGAGAGATCCCGGGTGTATGGGGAACGGGACAGAGGTAAGCCCCACTGGCTGCCCAGCCGGGTCACCCATCACTGCACACACATAGCTTGTACCCACCCTGCCTTGACCCACAGCCTGCCCCCTCCCCAGCACCCCAGGGGGACACGAGACTCCCGCTGTGCAGGACAGTCTTGCCCTGAGAAGGTCCAGTCAGCAGCTATCTCCCTGCTGGCCCTCAGACACAGGGTGAGGAGAGGGGCACTGCTCAGACTACCTTGGGCATGACGGAGCAAAGCCAACACCTGAACTAGCACCTAGGAACTTGCCAGCTCTGCACAAGGGGCTCTTTCCTATATGCTCCAGATTCCTTTCTTTCAGTTCAGGAGGCCATGGATAGCTACAGAGACATGAATGCCAATATGTATACAGACACGGTTCTTTAGGTAAATGTGATATCTTTTATTAGACCAACTAAATAGTTGGAAAAAATGTTCTTTGCAAGCTTTCAGGTACAAACTTCAGGCACAAGGAGCATCTGTAGTTTCTTTGTGTTCTCTCCTTGGTAGAATGGAAGCCAGTATGAAAACAAAAGTTCTGTGAAAATGCAATTGCATGATAGGGAGGATCAGAGGCCCTGGGAGACAATAGGTGAGAGAAAGGTAGGGGGGGAAAGTGGGAAGAATGTAGCTGGTAAGACAGGTTACCTGGGGTTATCAGATGGTAAGCAGATTACAATGTGCCATGAAGACAATGTCTATATTGGGGGTCAGACTTGAAGATCTACAAGGTCCCTTCCGACCCTACTTCTATGATTCTACTTCTATGATTCTGTATTAAGTCCATGATTTTTTGTATCCAGTAGATTTATGAAGTGAAGTTTGTAGGCTTGTCTATGAAGCACACTGCCAGGAGGTGGTTGCCGGCTTCATAGGCGGTATCCTCAATACCTGCTCACATCTCGTGGGCCAGCCATGGCAACAGAACGGCTCTTGGA